GTGACAGAATAGGAACCAGGTGCAGATCCCCGACTAGAACCTGCCATTACAACTCACACTTTCTCAATTTCCAATAAAATGTCACCTAACTAGCCACTCCACAAAGACTGCAATGACCATGTATGTGCAAATCTACAAACATTCCTGTAAACTATACATGTAAACTAGGTACGTTGTACCCCTCTGGGTACAACATCACCTACTAGTAAAGTCCTTATGAATACTGGTAACTGACTGTTTTTAAGACGAGGGTTCCAGAGGATATTTACATGAAAGTTCTTTGTTGGTGGTAACTTGTTTGTTGGCTTGTTTACGACTATCAAGAGAAGACTTGCTGAAGAATGTAAGTATTCACTCTACCGGTATGAAACAGCGAAGAGTTAGAGGTAGAAAGGTAGAACAACCAGCAAATGCCAGATGTTGGCCAAACGTGAAAACAGGAACCTGGAATCTAGTTGGAACTGCTTGGACATATGAATCATAACTGTTACCTCCTGGAATCAATTACCATACACCTTGGTCCCACAAACACCTTGATCATAGGTGAACCCTCACAGTACATGTCCATGTCTACCACCTGTTTCTTCCTGTTGAGGGACTGTCCTTGATATCATGCTGCAATAAACTTGTGCTTATCAATGACCTTCCTACACTAACATACCTGCACACAAATTCTTTTCCAGGAAATTATGCTTTCACACTGCAAACTGATTTGTACAATTTTTTCCCTAAAAATAATGTATTACATACTTGTCATCGATCAACAAATGGTGTGGGTATGAAAGCATGAAGGACTGGAAAAGAACTGAGCATATAAATATAGGTAAACAGTAATTATTGGCTTCAACAAATTGAAAAAAGGACCTGATAATTCTTGGTATCACTCAGTTCATTGCTTTTTCAGGAAGGAAAATCTTTGAGAGAGAAGTTTTAGGCTGTATTCAAGAAAACCACAGAAATTTCAACTTTTTGATCACTGCAAACTACATGTAATAACCTACACGTAACTCTTGAAGTTGTTTTTTTAAGTGGATTGCAATTATGCCTAATTATGGCAAATAACAATCACTCTATAGGGTTTGTTTAGAGACTTACTGAACTTGGAGGACTTTTACAGACAGTTGTGTAAAAGGCTTACACTTTCAGCTCAACATACAAGTCAGCAGGCAATACTGGTAGGTCAAAGTAAAAATGCTTTTGTTACAATTGCTTTCTTGAAGCATGTGGCTTCAATTAAGTGTGTATGACATTTTCCTAACCAATACAAGCTGATTGGGTGTGGATTTATGTTCATGGATCACTGAAACATCCGGTACTGTCAAACCCCTGTCATGTTTCCTGTAGCACTCCATCATTACCCCTGCACACCTGTTATGGGATCTTCCAAAAAATATTCATTTTGTTCAACTTTTGACTGTCTGGACACAAATCCTCCTGAACAGCAAAGATAATTATGATTACTACTTAAAGAATGCTGTTACACATAGCGCATGAACAATTCAAATCAACTAGATGGGGGTCTTTGGTTAAAACCATGCAATGCATGTGGTTGCCCCTTTAGGAGTCTACATTATGTACAAAAGAATCTTTAGTTTCCATATTTGACATGCATCAATGATCACTTCAAACCTTTATTCTACTGTTTCTGGTGATCCCTATGGTTTTATAGTCATGAACCTTTCCTCATTCATAAGTACAGAAAGAACCATCTTAACAGCAACTTCGATGCCATAGCAGTTTTGCATTTGTGCTTGATGAGGTCATATATCATTTATGCTTTCAGCCAGTCAAAGAGCCAACTTACAAAGTGTAGGCCTACTTACGGGAACAAGAGTCAAGTTATGAAATTGATGGGCATGGATACTTCACACTATGAAATGGGAATTTTAACAGATCATTGAGCTACCCATTATGAATTAACGACTGAAGCAATACAAAAAGTCTGGCAGGAACAACAACATTTGTGTCACACAGTGCAGAGTACATGCACTTAAACATTTACCCACAGTCTAGTAGAAATGGGATACACCCCTATCTTCTCCCCCCCCCAAAAAAAAGATAATAACAACAAAATTCTGGATGCATTATGAACAGCTCAAACCTTGGGATCATATTCTTATTATTATCTTAAGTAGAAAAAGCTTTGAGATATAAAGAACGAACTAAGTGCTTATGTTTTCTACATGTTTAGCTTCATTCAACAAAAGTCATGAAGTAATTCAGAAAAACTTGGGCATACCCCAAAAAGGGCACTGCTAAACAGCAAAGGGGAACCTAATTTTAAACTACTCTTGATATGTTGATCAATCATGGAGGTTGTAATAATGAATTCCAAATATTCAGGCCTATAACTTTCACTCTAAAAAGCAGCTATGATTCACGCTGGCGTGTTCATTAGCTGTCTGCTGCAGCAAGAATCATCACAGGATATGACATTTGTGGTCCAGGTGTGCAATGTATGTGTGCAGGTGTGATCACAAAGTGACACAACATTTCTCACAAAATTATCCTGGCAATCAGACTGCGTTTGGTTTAAATATATGAATGAGAAGTCATGCTACTCAAAATCTTTAAACATTCAATTTCAAATATTTTCTTGAAATTGTTACTCACTTTCATTTCAACTCAAACTGACAAGCACAAATTTTCTGTGAGTGTGACAGCTTTTCTGAGACTTTTATATCAAGATTTGGACCTGTGCAGCCAAATATGAATACTTCTATATCAAGATGCACTGATGAGGGTTCTGGATTTTTCTGTGTGAAGAAATCCCAAAAAAGTATTGACAAATGACAACATCTTCATACTTCACTACCAATGGGCTGATTTCATCATTATGCCACTAAAAAGAAGTTTTTTTTATGATTTGAGTGTACAGCAAAAATCCACTGCATGCTTTATCCAGGATTTTCAGTTCATGGTGTCTTACACCATGTTAGTACGTGCAACGGCATACAAAGGTTGATTATGCAGAAAGTTAACAATATGCACTATGAGTAGGTAAAGTTTCTTACAACTAATGGCCAATTCTGTTCATTGATGACTAAAAACAGAGTAAAAGCATTGGTTTCCAGATGTGATAAAGCAGAGACCAAAGCCAGGCCTACATTTGAAGCAGTTCCTCACAGAGTGCTTTTGTTAACAGTTAAAACAAATTAACAGGAGGCCTAGAGAATTAGTTCATTCCCCATCTTCTAACTCCCATCTCATGGCATCATCTTGTAAGTTGGATAAAGGATTACTAAAAACGTCATATAATATTTCACTTAATGGTCAATAAGGTCATTTGTCAACAACAAATCAACAGAGTTATTTGCTTATCCACATGGAAGTTTGCACTACCACATGGCACCATGAAGTTTGCCTCAAGTGTGCAACACACAATTTTTCCTGACAATATTAAATCATATTGTACTTGTCCGTATATACGTAAATATATGTATCCATGTACACTTATCCTAGCTTGTGTACAGACATGCTGAGGAGACCGGTGCATTTGGCTATTGGTTTCTTTCACAAAATCATTGAACATCATGTAATTATTAAGCTTCTCAAACAACAAGCAATATTTTCAGGAGAGAAGTCAAACAGTACCCACTGTCTGAAAGCAATGTTTTCTTATATAACACAACTGCCTAAAACAAGAAGAAAAGCAGATAACTTGTAAGTGGATAACTTGAACATACATGTACAACCAACATCGTAAACAACCTTTCTTTAATACTTTATTATTGAGAAATACATTGCATGTAGTCTGTTAACTGTGAACTAGTTATGACCATTTTTCATAGAAATCAGAAAATTGTGAGAAAACTATTAAATGTATTTATGGGAAAGGCATGGACTCTGATCTGAGAGGCCCCAAATCAAATCCTGACCATCTTCCTGTACAAGAGCACTCCCTAAAGGGCAAAGAGGAGGCTGGTGGGTGACTGTTTCAAGTGGGCACCTACTCGCCCAAAAAGATGGCAATACATGTACATTCTATTCATTGATCCTCACTGTATTGACCTTTCGTCGAATCGTGATCAGTGAGCCAATAAAAATACACTGTGCACTCTGTCATACATGTAGGTACACAAACTTGCACATATGCAAGAGGTGTGTTGCTCACACAGGACACGCAGGATGTCATTGCTAAATGCTGTCATTGCTGTCATCTATTGTTCACACACACACAGCCCATATCGGGAAGTTTGGCAACCAGTATCAACACATACATTGAATCATTAAACCCAGCATTCAAGTTTGCATGCCCAATAATTTTAGATTAACATTTATATGACATTTGATTCATCAAATGACCAAATTTTAGCATGCTTGTTTTTCCATAAGGATTAATGAATAGTTCAAGCACGTATCATCAGAAGCAAATATTTTTAGCTTTACAATTTACTTGTATCTCCAATTACAGCTACATGTACAAGATGTAGTAAGTCCATCTTTGTGTTGGGCCCAGTATTTTTCCAAACTTTAAAATCAAGGTTTTGCGTGTGGAACCTCATGCCCCCAGAACTGTGGGGTTCGACAGACCCCAGTTCTGGGGATAGAACCTGGAATGCTTGAGATTTTGGGATTAACATGTTAAAGAGGTTTAAGGAAATCTCTTGCACCATTTGATAGATTACCTGCTTTAGTCTTATAAACTGGCTTTTGATTAACTGAGTAGAAGGATGTAACAAAACAAAGAACATAACTCAAGAACTCTGGCATGTCTAGGGTTCGACGTCCACCACTTCCCATGAACCCCAGAGTTCTAGGGGTAATAACTAACATATTAATCGATCAAACGAGTAACCAAATAGTACTTGCAGGCCTGTGCTTGATTCCACCTGACTACAGATATACCAAGACACTGCCAAGGTATTACAAGTAGCACTACCAAGGCATTAAATAACGTCTTTCACTGTTTCACTCTCGCAGAAAACAAATAAAGACACAAACAAGCTGACAAACAAACAAGAAAGGGCTTAGGATGCTTGCTCTTTCCTCTAGCTTACTTGATCGATGATGAAGCTCAAAGCTGAACACACCTGTGCCTTGGTAATAATCATTCCGCTGAGCGCGTGCATGCATCAGCTTGGACAGAGTTATTGGTTTCTGCTCAGCAATTTCAGTGTCAACTGCTGCACCTCCGCTGCCAGTGCCACTACATGGAGGTGTTGACTTGGGGCTGGCGGCACGCTCTGTTTTAATTTTCACCTCATTGGGACTGATGCCGTTGATACCAGCCGGGCTTGTGTTCTTCTTCATTGCCTCTGAGTGAATAAGTTTGTCATGCATGAGTGCTGATTAAAGAAATGTCTAGTCCACCTTCCAAGATTCCAGGCAAGGAGAAAACAAACAGGGAAACACACAAAATAGTTTTTTTTATTTATCAGTTGGCTTTCAGAATGTTCAGGCAGTTGCTTCAGAGAATTTGACACTCAGCATGTACTTACAATAATCCAATATCAGTGTAAATCAGTCACATTCACAAGCAACCATGACAAGCAACCAACTGTCCACTCTCACGTCTGCATGTGCAGTTAATCATGGATGTATGCGTACAGATGTTTATAATCTCCCTGAAGGTACACTGGTCCAATCCAACTCTCAGTACCAACTCTCCAGCATTCCATGTCCGTTTCTGAAAAGGTTCCAACAAGGTGCATGATACTGCTAGGATGCACCATATGCCGTACTTGCACTGTGGCAGGATTCTATTCAACAACACACAGTTTAAGAATTGCAGGAAGGCAGATTCAGAAATACCACATTGGGACACACTATGCACACCAAGATATCACTGATGATGTTACCAGTGCAGTGGAATGCAGCTTGCACTGACACATAGCACACTGTGCCAACACATGCGCTGACACAGGCTGGCTGGCCCTACCATGCAATTGATTGCAGGAGTTGAGGGTTCATAATGCAGTGACGTGACACACTCTGGCATATGTGTGTGTGGTGTATGGCAGAACAGCTGTCCTTTGCAATAATCAGAGGTGATAAATCTATATCCGCTGCATGGGGGCCACTCAGTATGATTGGTTCAAGCTGGCCTCTGGCTAGTCAGCTCTCTCTCTCTCTTCTGGCTCACTACTCACTGCTTGTCACTCCACCTACATCCTTCTGCCATGGTTCCCATGGGGTGATAACTAGAGACTGCCCATTTACCACTAGGTCTTTCTGGGTACATGTATATAAAATGGATCCTGCTCATCTTTTTCTCAAGGATTTCCACTAAATGTTAATATAGAGTTATGTTGAATTACATTAAAATGAAAATATTTTTCTTACTTTCCGATTTGACGGGTTCGCATGGTTGCTCCAGCGAATGCTATAATGTACATGTCAGTATGTTCATTGTACAATCATCATTATTCGTCAAATGATATTGATGAAATCCTAAAATAAAAAGCACAAAAGAATCTTTCTGAGCATGTACAAGTACAAGTGTACTGAAAACAAGGTCATACTTCCTTGATTGGGAGTGACAAAAAATTTTCCCAGGACGTTTTTTTCCACTTCTCATGGTTTGAAATGCCAAATTTACCAGACCTTGCAGAAAAACACCATAAACCATTTGTTTATCAAGTATGAAATCAATCAAGAACTCTTGTATCACTTGTATCAACTCTTGTATCAGCTTACAAGTGTGCTTTAGCTTACAAGTGTTTACCCACTTACTAGTGGGTAAACCAAAATTAAATAGTCCCAAAAACCACAGCATCAAGGGAACAAAAACATAGATGTCTGCCTGCGTGGGATCAAACCTTGGTAACAGCATCTGGAGGCAAAGACAGTGCCACTATATGACCTTACTACTCCAGTCTTTAATGAGAGAATTTTCCTCAATATTTTCTAAATGATGCAACACCATTTTAAAAATCATCCTTCGATCTACACATAAGCAGTTGTAATTTACTCATACTTGTCAAACAAGCGGTTAATAAATAATAAGTGACAATGATGGTCTACATGGACACAAAAGGAAACAGTGCAGAGATCAAACAGACCACTTTCACTTCCAATGACACTGACCTACATTTCCATCCTCAGATCTTTTCATCTTTTAGAAAGCTTTCTTACTGGTACATATATATCAATATCCATGTGTTTCTTCATCATTCCAGATACAAACATGCATGTACACCACCACCACCACCACCACAAGAGTATTACATAGCACACACACATGTACAGCTCAAGGAAAATTATCGCTGCTGGCTTGAATATATGTGAATCAAGGGACTGATGAGGCTAGTCTAGTGATGAGAAGGCCAGACAGGGTGATTGGAGGCAAATATTAATGGATTGATTAGTACCATCTGCTCCAGCCTGCATCCAGCCTCTCAGATGATGACATTTGTGATAGGATACATAACATCTAAACAGCATCCAAGATTAACATCTCAGGCAACATCCTATTTCACGTATGTGTTGCATATAACTCGCACATTACATGCCAGATTTTAAGTCAGAAAATGTTATTCCTTATCTTTGTTTTATATTCTAGGAACTGAGCATGCAAAATTGGCCTACAAACTGTCAAATGCCTGAACAAGAAACACTAAGAAATGGCACAGCCAATACAATACAATGGTATATGCTCTAAGCAGGGACAATATTTAACATTTAGGGCGCCAGTCACCCTCTTGTCCGGAGCCTAAAAATAAGGCCAGAAAAACATAAATACTTTTTGCTGAGGCCTGAAATTAGCCCAATATCTCAAAGTGAAAAGCCTGAAATCAGGCTTTTGCCTGAAAACTGGCAACCCTCGGAGGTTCACAGTAACATTCCTTCCAATTCATTCCTATCGAAAAGAAAACACAAAAAGGGTATACACTGATACTTCATTAAGGGGAACATTCCTTTAAAAACAATCAAATTCATGTAATTTCAAAATATTTGGATTTCAAAGACAATTTACGTATTTTTTTAGAGGTCTGTTTGATCCACAGAAATTGCAAGGCGAGGACGGGTCCTACCACTGTTGTATTAATGCAAGTGGACCTATGTGACATGAAGCAGGAACTGTGTACCAATTACAAAATTCTAAATGAAAATTTAAAGTTTATTCAGGATGTGGTTTCCGAAAGTTCATTTGTAGGTCATTCTCAAAGGAAATTTGAAAAACACAGGAATAGCGCCATGCTGAGGCCACTCAGCCATTGCCAGCTCCAATGCAATTCTACCTATTCCTGCAATGCTAACACAGACAACTTCAGCTGGTGTATTGCTTTAGTGGAGGAACAGGACATTGAAGCAGTATTAGATAGTCTGATTAGAAAATGTCTTTCCCAGCTGATGTCCCTACCAAAAGGCTGTGTGGCCATGGGTAAGGGTAGGCAGGATAGCTGCTCTGGGGAGTACTGGTATTGTCTGACTTCCCATCTGTCAGTGACGAATTGGAAGTTTTAGTAAACAAGTTTTACAGTTTCAAAAGAACTGGCAAACTCATTTACAAAACTTCCCAGAGAGTAACATCAGGCCTGACCCAACATTTTAACTGTATTATTAAAGTTCCCACTTACATATACATGTATGATATGGAATTTCATACATGTGCATGTAGATGAACAATTTGCATACTTGATTTCTCAACAAATTACCAGACATAGGGTAGAAGACATGTCCAGATGATATTCACATATTGGGCTCTGAATGGTGTATGTTCAGGGATGTTCAACTGTACGGCAAATGTAACTTTACTGAACTGTATCCATAGCATAGTAAATGCAGTGTACTGATCCGTGAGCACTCCAACAAAACTGGATCAGAAAAAAAGAAGGTACAGAAGCACCAATAGTAATGTTTTTTACATCTGTAAAGACTGTTTGATAGAATGATGCAAACTCATGGACAGATATACAAATACATTAACACATGGCACAAGTTCCCATGTGTGGTACCATGGTGGTACTCAGTACTTCATACATGTATGCCCTCACAATAACCACAGTCCCAAACACCAACTCCCTTGACAAACCACTACCCCGCCCACACATACACACAAAATATGTATATATACACATGTACTTTTCTCTAAAAAGAAACCTGAAAAGTTTGCCTCATTGCTCAGTCCATTTCTAAGCAATTGGCACATATAGAGTAGGCTGCATTGTAAACATACAATCCGAGTAAAAACATCCAAGCAAATGACGGGTTCGTTTGGGGGAAAATAATTTATTATTTGACAAAAAAAGAAAGAGAAAGAAAAAAACAACAAATAACGCATGGACTTGGACAACTCATGAAATTACTGAAGAATATACCTAACTGCAGATTCTCATTAACCTGCATGTACATGATCAACAGCATTTGCTCTGACATGTATGTACATGCAGGATAAAAGATCAACCACACTTTGCAGATTCATTTCCAAGCTTATGGTTATTTATGGATATTCTATAGGTTGGAAAATCAGGCAAGATCTGTGTCCAAGTACATGTACAGGCAGCTAATTCAGATTTACTCCCAATAGACGGAATGTGTTTTCAGGCCTGGATTTGGCTGCTTAACCAGCATGATCAATCACAACTCCACTGACTTGACATTTCTGACATTGCTTAGTTGAGCCTGATCATAATATGGTTGGGGGTGCCAACAGATTTAACACATATCTGCAGAACATGCTGTCCCCAGGACCCCTTAGGGTTGACTTCTCAGAAGACTCACCCAGGCTGCATTTAATATATATGTATGGCTTATATCATTCCACACCCTGCAAGGTAAGGAAGAAATTGGGAAACATGATAAATGACAGTCACAAGCTGATTAGAAACACACTGAAAAACTGACAAGAACCAGTCACCATTATCAAAACCAGGACAAAACAAGAAAGGTTATTTGTCAAAAACATGTCAAGAACTGACTTGGAACAAACCACTAAACACAGGTTAAGGAACTACATAGAGGTTGACAGCCCTTCCGACCTGATTGAATAAAGCACTTGTACAAACTTTCAAAGTGGTAATCATTATAAAGAGAAATGTCATTCTATCTTGTAAACGATAATGCTCAGATACAGTTTGTGGACAGTTTATTAGCCTACAGAGCTCGATTATACAGGTAAGTATGGGTAATTCCAGAAATAAGGGGTCCAAAAGTGTGACATTTTTGTGTCCCTGTTACATGTGACCCTTGTTATTTGACATGGAAATATCACCGGAATTGATTTCAAACTAGTACGTTTTGTTAAGCAGGTAATTTACATTAATTCATCACTCTTGGAAATAAGAATATGTGTTCTGAACCTACAATTTCTAAAATCATATGTCACATGTAACAGGGACAAAAATGGACCCCTAATTTCTGGAATAACCCATATACAACTGCTTCTATAATTGCAAAAAACATGGTAAATCTCACTGAGACCTAAAAATCACAATACATAGTGTGAACAGGTGGTATACAACACCCCTGGCACACAGACCAACTACACTGTTGTTTTTTTCCTTCCCTTTCCTCAAAAGTATCAGTAGCAGTAAGAATAACAAAAACAATTTATTTAATGGGACCTCAAATACTTCCTTTACTAAATCTCAGAATCTTAAAATACTACCAAGCCATCTCCAAACCGCCTCTGAATACCACCAGTCTGATATACCATACACTATGAACATCTAACAAAAGAAGCACAGTGCACTAACAATGGACACTCATTGTTAGTGTACTTTTGTTAGATGTTCGTAGTGATATATAGGCCTACATTACAGTGCAAAGCAATTCAACTTTTCAACTATGGATTTCACTTTCATTGAGTCTTGTACAGGTTAATTTCCTGAAAACCTATTGATTCATTTAAAATAAACTAATGAAATATTTAAATTGACATGTAAACTAACAGCTAGCAAACCAGAGAAATTGTCAGAGATTATAGGTCTTTTCACTCTACAGCCTCTCAACCCTGGTTGAACTCAACCCTGGGCAAGCTCATGGCTGCCCTGGGTT